TAATAGGAAGAACCAGTGGACGAATATGAATTCCCCAGGAGCCGAATCATCATCAAGGAGGTAATCGGAAGCGGTGCTTTCGGTCAAGTGTACTCAGCTAAAGCCATAGGGATTGGGGGCATTCGGGGCTACAGGATGGTGGCGGTTAAAACTTTAGGCGAAGGCGGTGAGTCTCCAAAGTAGTACCACACTTTCTTAACTTGTCTGCGTTTAGAAAGCATAAGTAGAGAGGCAACGAATGACTTCATAGCAGAAATCGAAATTTGCAAAAAAGTGGGGTATCACATGAACGTGGTGACCCTTCTGGGCTGTTGTACCGTGGACACCCCATTCATGATGATCATGGAACTAGTACCTTGTGGTGATTTGAAAAAGTATTTGCTGGAATTGCGAGCGCAGTGGTTGAAAATGAAAAATGTAGCACTGAGTAGGCAGTTCATTTTTCCAGAGTAAGTACCTTTGGTGTTAAGAGTAGTACTCATTTCAAACATTAGTACCAGCGATGGAACGATACAGCCGCCGTCGCCACTCACCCCGGTGTCGATAGGGTCAAGCCGGTTACCATCAACCTCTGAGAGTAAGTAACTACCTCATAAACACTTCTCAGAATCCTACATGACTCACACTATAATTATTAATAAACCCGTGCTATCGCACTAAATTTACTAATAATTGTTTATATCCACCGACGAATAACCAGATAACGTTTTTCTAATTTTTTTCTTCCAGCCGTGTTTACCATGTTGGAGGACCCCATGACCCCCCTCCTCTCCCACTACACTCTAGACAAAGTCCTCGACCACACCGAGCTCCAAAACTTCGCCCTCCAAATCGCCAAAGGCATGTCCCATCTGGAAAAAATCGGCGTCACCCATCGGGACCTCGCCGCTCGAAATATCCTCATCAGCGAACACAAAATCCTCAAGATATCCGACTTCGGGCTCTCGCGTTGCGGTCCTTACGTCAACCACAAGACTAAAAGACTTCCGTTGCGTTGGATGGCCATCGAGGCTATAGTAGAACAGAAGTACGATAGTAAAAGTGACGTGTGGTCGTTCGGAGTGGTGTTGTGGGAAATCGGGACTCTGGGAGCTTTCCCGTACGACAAAATCCCGGATTCGTTCATCCAGCAGTCTCTGCAACTCGGGAGGAGACTCGAGCGACCGGAAATTTGCACGAACGAACTCTACTCCGTGATGCAACAGTGCTGGAGCGTGGACCCGGAGCAAAGACCCACGTTCCGGGAGTTGGTGGAGGCGCTGGACGTGAAGAAGAGGAAAATCTACGCGAATTTTAACCAGCTGAATCCGACGTACTTTTTTCCGCCGAGTGATATGGAGAAAGTGGACAATCCGGTGCGGCTTGTGGATGTCAACATGGACGCTTAAGGGACGCTTTCAGATTGCCTCGGCACGACTGTCTGTTTTGACGTCCGTCGTTTACTTTTTGACTTTATTTAGCAAAAATGTAAACAAATCCTGCAAACAAAGTCGGTGTGGGATTGTGTCGCCGGAACACCCGGAAATTTAAAAAATGCAATAGATATTCTTAAAAACATAACAGACAGATAAAAAACGATGTATGTAAATTTTGAATAAAATGATATTTTTTCTTTCAGAGCGTAAACTCAGTACGAAACAATAGGTCGCCCGTTTCCGTCTGTCTGTCTGTCTGTCTGTCTGTCTACCGTCTCTTCGGACTTTTATTAGACAGATAATCTCCGAAACTACTGAATCTACGTATTGTTAAATTTTATATGTGTATAACAAATATCGTGTAGATAATCAAAATTTGGCTAAGCATCCCTACCAACAATTTATTGAAGTCATCTCCAAAATTTACAATAGTACATATTATTTAAATTTTATAAAATAAAATATCGCTGCACGTGTGGTTCAAAAACCCCTGTTGAATTTTTATCCCAGACATCCAGATTTTTGGAGAAAAAAAAATAAAAATTACAACATCTTGTAATGAGCATGATAAATCATCAATCTCAAAATTTTTCCGTTCATCAACCGTTTTCAATTTTCAATTTTACCCTTCTTCAATTTTTTATGCATTTTCTACTTCCAGATTTCTCGATTTTTCGATGTTTCAACTTCTTGTTGTTAGATTTTTCGGTTTTCAATTTTTCGATTTTTAAAATTTTTGCTTATTTCTTTACGAGTAATTAAAAACATGTATTTGAGTGTCGTGTGGTTCAAAGAATACTACGCGTATTAAGATAAAAAGGCAAAATATAAAAACCAACCCACCCACCCTATCTCAATTGTAATGATTTTTTTTATTCTTAGACACTTAAACACGTTTAAAATGGTAAATTTTTGTAGGAAAATATGGATTTTGCAGTTAAGCTGCGCCCCTTTGGTTCACGGCGAATAAAAGAAATCATCACAATTGAGATAAGGTGGGTGGGCGGGCTTAAACTTTGCCTTTTTGTTTTAATATGTGTAGACTTCTTTCCCCAACATGAAACTCAAAACATGTTTAAAATGGAAAATTTGAATACGAAAATATCGATTTTGCAATTAGGTTCCGCTCCATAATTCCAAAATCCATATTGCCATTTTAACTATGTTGTAATTTTCTTGTTGTGAAAAGATGGCTATGTATATTAAAAAAAAGACAAAATATAAGTCCGCCCACCCGCCCTATCTCAATTCTGATGATTTTTTTATTCGTCATAAGCCGAGGGGTGGAGCTTAATTGTAAAATCCTTATTTTTCAACGAGAAATTTGCTTAAAACATGATAAAGTATTTCATTCCGAAAAATTACACCATTTTGTAGAAATTTCGTGCTTTTTAATTATTAATTTTAATCGCTGCATTTTTACAAATTTTTATTATCCATATTTCTAGCTTGTAAAACAAAACCTGAAGATGACGTTAATTAATGAAGTCGAAACATGTAACCAATCAGTCTCCTAATGAAAAACACGTTCAAGAGGCGGAAAACAACCCCAAATTAACTAAAACATTTGAACAAAATGGATCTCGAAAAATTATGATAAAATATCTTAAAATAGATTAAAACAAACTGGTAAAACAAGCATAAATAGATGAAAAAAATATATACATATATGGGGTGAAATTTACCAATTTACTTTCATCTGATTTCAGTCAGTCATTCAGATGAGAATTGGATTTGAATTAATAAACAATGCTTTTGGAATCACCAAAAATTATAGAGGTATTTGGTAATGGTAAATTAAATCGGCAAAATTATAAAATCATCTCATTATTGTTGTAAGAGGGATTTATAAACTCGTTGTTGACTCCGTTATCAAAGCTTCCGTTGATAGTAACTTTGATGTTCAACTTTTGCCGTATTTAAAGGGGTTGTAGTAGAAAAATGGCGGATTTCAGTTGATTATTAGAAAAATTTACCATTTTTGACATGTTTTAAGTTTCTTGTTGTCGAAATAAGTCTACATATGTTAAGAATAAAAAAGGAAACTGTGGCCCCGCCCACCCGCCCTGACTCAATCGTGATGATTTTTTTTTATTCGTCGTAAGCCAAGGGGGCGGAGCTTAACTGCAAAATCCATATTTCTCCACGAGAAATTAAAAACATGTTTTGAGTATCGTGCCCCACTGATCCAAGTATGATGTAATGAAGTTTTCAATCGTTGCCAGACCTAAGGGTGGGACCTAATTACAAAGTCGAAATTTTCCTACAAAAATTTACCATTTTAAACGTGTTTAAGTATCTAAGAATAAAAAAATCATTACAATTGAGATAGGGTGGGTGGGCGGGGTTGATATTTTGCTTTTTTTTTAATATGTATACATAGTATTTTTTAAACAACATGATACTCAAAAACATGTTTTTAATTTCTTGTAAAGGAATAAGTATTTTGCAGTTAAGCTTTGCCCCTTTGGTTCAAGGCGAATAAATAAATCATCACAATTGAGACAGGGCGGGTGGGCGGGCTGACATTTTGCCTTTTTGTTTTAATATGTGTAGACTTCTTTTCAGTACATGAAACTTAAAACATCTTTAAAATGGAAAATTTGTGTAATGAGATATCGCTTTTCAATTAGGCTCCGCCCCATTATTGCAAAATTCATATTTCCTTAAAAATTTACCATTGACTACGTATATTAAGAAAAAAGGCAAAACAATATAAGTCCCGCCCACCCGCCCTATCTCAATTCTGATAATGTTTTTTATTCGTCGTGAGCCGAGAGGCGGAGTTTAGTTGTAAAATCATTATTTTTCTACGAGAAATTACCATGTGAAATGTGTTCCTAAGGAATCGTAACGTCTCCAAAATTTCAGAGCAGTTTCAAAGTTAACTTGCAAGATGTTTATAATTTTGATTTTTTTCTCCAAAAATCTGAATATCTAGGATAAAAATTCAACAGGGGTTCATAAACCACGAGTACGTATTTATTGCATTTCTAATTGTAGCATCCCGCATATGTGAAAAATGTAAACAATTGTATAAAAAAAAAGAAGTATTGTTATCTGCATTTTGTTATCTTTTGTATTTCTTAGAATTGTTTGAATTCAAGTTATTTTGACGGACTTACGTGTGTAAGTTTATAAAAAAATAAATTTATATGTATATGTAACATAAATATGTTTTTAATTGAACGAGTTATAATGAACTTCATTTTCTTTAAAATGTGGAACAAAAAAAATCTGTAAAAACGAATAGATAAATTTCGACCCACACTCGATATATTTTTCCTTAAAAAATGGGAGCACGTAAATTTTCTCCTCGTGTTAATTTTGTTTTTAGAGCTGTTCGTTGTTATTAATATTGTTTGCCTTTGCAATTACGCTGATCTGATAACGTTAAAACCACATCTAACGATTACAATTTAAATACAGTAAATCGTAGTCTACATACATATCATTAGCTTCACCCTTATTTGCGTTTGAATAATTCTGATTCAGGTAACTCAGGGAAGCTCTTATCAACAAAAACGATAAAAGCTGCGAGATACTACCGAGTAAGAAACTTTGATTTATTGAGACGCGGTTCGCACGGTAGTACACGCGTAAAACGAAGTCTATTTTAGTTCGATTTCTTAACTGAATAAAAAGCACGGAAATATTTATGAAATTCGTGTGAGAAACATGTACTGGCTTAAAGTGGCGTTAGTTGTAATTGTGATTAGTCGAGTGGACAGCATCCAGAGCAAGGTAATTTTGTCTCTTTGTGCGTTCTCGAAGTTAAATATTTTCAATAAACAAACTTTCAACGATCATAATGCAAACGGATCGATTCTTGAAATCATTTAATCATGAATTTCCGGTGCTCGGAAAATCACTACCAGATTGATTTTAATTAGGTGACCGAATATCCACCATCACGGTACACATATACCGTATTTTAGCCTTATCAATTTACAAATTTTTAAGGCAAATTTGCAAAATCAAATCATTGAACAAACACCGATGGTATTTTGTATTTGCGACAGATAACATCTGTTAAAGTAAGCGTTCATATGAATCCAAACAATTATTGAGCCCGAGAGACGGGACACGTTATCTACTAAGCTAAAAAGCAGTGCACTGTTTTCTGATTTTGTCAATTTTGCAGAGCAACGAAACTGACGATCGCACCATGCTACCATGTGCAACGACGGCAAACGCATGTGTCAACGGAACCGAATTAATTCTAAATTTCGAATTTCCCAAAGAAACGACAATATCGTACATATCGACCTACTGGAATTGTTATAATTTCAGTAGAACCAAGGACTCATCATCATTTATTGGTGAAATGAGTACAAATGTGTCCAGCATTTGCAGATATTTCTTGACTCAACAAAATGACATCCCGTTGTACTACATTGAAGGATCTGATTTATCCGAACTCCACAACGCCTGCCCTCAGCAAGACAAAATCTGCATTTTGGAAGTCACCTGCCCTTTAAATAACTTCAACGTCAATGCCGTCTTCGATGATTCCAATTACAGGAACTTGAACGTCTCGTGGGACAAAATTAATAGTGACGAAGTTGTCGATGTTTCGATCGTAGAAGAAACCAATAGCGATTATGTCTCCGCCTGTTTCAGTGAAAGCTACGTGCGGAACCATTCCCTTAAAGTAAGTGGTTTTAAAGTGGTTCAAAATCAGACGATTGGTTGCAGAATAATACGATCTTGCGCCCGGGTTTCGTCAAAGCAGACAAAGTTTACCCTGGGTGTAGGTACAAGGTTGAGGTGGATTACACAGGACCTGACCAACGACCAATTTACTGCTCACTCAAGTACACGGTTCCTGAGTGCGAAAATTGTACCACTTCAGATATGAAATCAGACGACTGTTACTATTTTGAACAGAAACCAGAAATTTTAAATGTTAGTCACATTTCCGAGGATAGGTTTTTGGTGAGTTGGAATCCCGGGAAGACGTTTCGTCAAGGCAAATTGTACGTCAGCAGCGAAGTTTATTTTGAATAGTGAGTGTTAGTACTGAGGGTGATTATTTATTTATTTTTATAAATGTAGCGGGGTGGAGGCGGCGGGTGTGTCATTAGAAGCTGCACAAGTGACAAGGAACAACGTACCAGAATACACAGCCGAGATTGTTATGAAGTTATCGGCGGGAAAAAAGTACGCACTGGTTGGTACTTTTTCGAATAATGGTTCTTGTGCGGTACAATCGCCACATTACCACTTTACAGGTGAGGAGGAATTACAATAAGTGTTAAAAATTGACAAAGTTGCACTTCGACAGTCCCTACGGAAAGTGCCAGTGTGGTACTCATCGTAATTCCAGTCGCGTTTGTTTTGTTGGGGGTATTGCTTGCTTTGAACTATAAGAAGATACCGAAATTGAAAACAAAAATGTTAAATCTGCTGGTGCGTACAGGGTGGTGCGACTCTCCACACGAACCAGTAAGAATGCGGTACGTACTATTATAACTACAGTTATTATAATAGTGATAATTTTGTCTTACCAGGAGCGACCCAATTCACATGGACACTAATACTCACTATATTCCTACTGGAACTTCGGTGAGACAATATTTTCTTAATTATAATTAGACGGTATCACCTATTATTTAATAGGAAGAACCAGTGGACGAATATGAATTCCCCAGGAGCCGAATCATCATCAAGGAGGTAATCGGAAGTGGTGCTTTCGGACAAGTGTACTCAGCTAAAGCCATAGGGATTGGGGGCATTCGGGGCTACAGGATGGTGGCGGTTAAAACTTTAGGCGAAGGCGGTGAGTCTCCAAAGTAGTACCACACTTTCTTAACTTGTCTGCGTTTAGAAAGCATAAGTAGGGAGGCAACGAATGACTTCATAGCAGAAATCGAAATTTGCAAAAAAGTGGGGTACCACATGAACGTGGTGACCCTTCTGGGCTGTTGTACCGTGGACACCCCGTTCATGATGATCATGGAACTAGTACCTTGTGGTGATTTGAAAAAATATTTGCTGGAATTGCGAGCGCAGTGGTTGAAAATGAAAAATGTGGCACTGAGTAGGCAGTTCATGTTTCCAGAGTAAGTACCTTTGGTGTTAAGAGTAGTACTCATTTCAAACATTAGTACCAGCGATGGAACGATACAGCCGCCGTCGCCACTCACCCCGGTGTCGATAGGGTCAAGCCAGTTACCATCAACCTCTGACAGTAAGTTACTACCTCACAAACACTTCTCAGAATCCTACATGACTCACACTATAATTATTAATAAACCCGTGCTATCGCACTAAATTTACTAATAATTGTTTATCTCCACCCACGAATAACCCGATAACGTTTTTCTAATTTTTTTCTTCCAGCCGTGTTTACCATGTTGGAAAACCCCATGACTCCCCTCCTCTCCCACTACACTCTAGACAAAGTCCTCGACCACACCGAGCTCCAGAACTTCGCCCTCCAAATCGCCAAAGGCATGTCCCATCTGGAAAAAATCGGCGTCACTCATCGGGACCTCGCCGCTCGAAATATCCTCATCAACGAACACAAAATCCTCAAGATATCCGACTTCGGGCTCTCGCGTTGCGGTCCTTACGTCAACCACAAGACTAAAAGACTTCCGTTGCGTTGGATGGCCATCGAGGCTATAGTAGAACAGAAGTACGATAGTAAAAGTGACGTGTGGTCGTTCGGGGTGGTGTTGTGGGAAATCGGGACTCTGGGAGCTTTCCCGTACGACCAAGTCCCGGATTCGTTCATCCAGCAGTTTCTGCAACTCGGGAGGAGACTCGATCGACCGGAAATCTGCACGAACGAACTCTATTCCGTGATGCAGCAGTGCTGGAGCCTGGACCCGGAGCAAAGACCCACGTTCCGGGAGTTGGTGGAGGCGCTGGACGTGAAGAAGAGGAAAATCTACGCGAATTTTACCCAGCTGAATCCGACGTACATCTTTCCGCCGAGTGACGTGGAGAAAGTGGACAATCCGGTGCGGCTTGTTGATGTCGACATGGACGCTTAGTGTGTTACAAAATTCTGCAAACAAAGTCAGTGTTGGATTGTGCCGCCAGGACACCGGGAAATTTCACATATGCAGGATGTTACAATTACAAATGCAATAAATATTACTAAAAATATAACAGACACATAGAAAACGATATAAGTAAATATTAAATAAGACCATATTTTTATTTTCAGAGCGTAAACTCAGTATGAAACGTTTCCGTGTGTCTATCTGTCTGTCTGTCTACCGTCTGTTCGGATTTTTATGAAACAGGTAATCTCCGAAACTACTGAACGAGTTGTTAAATTTTATATGTCTATTACGAATATCGTGTAGATACTCAAAATTTAGCTAACCATCCCTGCCAACAATTTGTTGACGTCATCTCCAAAATTTGCAATAGTAAATGTTATTTAAATTTTATAAAATAAGATACTCCTACACGGGTGGTTTATGAACCCCTGTTAAATTTATTCGTTCATCGACCGTTTTCAATTTGTCATTTTTGATCTTTCATATTGAGATTTTTCAATTTTTCGATTCTTCAATTTTTTATCCATTTTCCATTTTTCAATTTTTCTCCTTATCGATTTCTTGATTTTTCGTTATTTTTTTAATCTTAATATTTTCCATTTTTCACTTTTCGATTTCTCGATTTTTCAGTTTTTCGATTCTTCAATTTTTCGATTATTCGATTTTTTGGTTTTCCCACTTCCGGATTTCACGATTTTTTTATGTTTTGAACTACTTCGTTCATCCAGCAGTGTCTGCAACTCGGGAGGAACTAAAATTACTATTCGTTTCGATTTTTCAGGTTTTTGATTTTCAACTTTTCAAATTTTGGATTTTTCGATTTTTTGATTGCTCCATTTTTCAATTTTTCAATTTCTGTTTCAGTTTTTGGATTCGATTTTTAAATTTTCCGACTGTCCCATTTTTATTTTTTATGATTTTGAAAAAGTCTTGAGCGCCGCAGTGTTTTTCTTTTATTCAGGAGACTCTTGGGTACCCACGGTGTTAATATCGGTAGCCCATGAAGACTTTTTTTGTAAATTAACTATTTAAAACAATTTTGGGGGACTTTTATGTTCTGTTTTTGGAAAATGCTGACCTGACCTGTTTTTGAGTTAATTTTGGAAACTCGTTTTTTTTTTGAAAAATTTAAAACATGAGGTTCTAGGTATTCCTGCTTCGAAAGAATTTGAAAGTGCTTTGGAGCTCTTAGTGAGTTTTCTTGTAATAATTTAATTAAATTCCTTAGAGAATACGTCATTTGCTAAAATTAGTCCTATCTTCACACCCACCCTCTAAAATAAGATCGATTTTGGCAGATGATATATCCTCCCAAAAAGAGAGGGTGGGTGGGCGGGGCTAGTAGCTGCTAAGATAAAACTGACTTTAGCAGGTACTAGCCCCGCCCACTCTCCCTGTTTTTACTTAGAGAGATCTCATTTGCTAGGTAGTAGCTGCTAAGATAAAACAGATTTTGACTAATGAGATGTCTTGTAAGAGAACAGAGGATGGGTGGACGGGCCAGTACCTAATAGGATAAGACTGATTTTGGCAAATGATATTCCTCTAATAAAACAGAGGACGGGTGGGCGGGTTTAGTACCTGATAAAATAAGATCGACTTTGGCAGATGATATATCCTCTAAAAAAAAAGAGGGTGGGTGGGGCTAGTAGCTGTTAAGATAAAACAGATTTTAGCAGTTTTGGAATTTGTCAATTTCTCGAATTTTCTATTTCTCGATTCTTCAATTCTTCGATTAATCGATTTTTTGGTTTTCCTATTTCTCGATTTCCCGAATTTTGTATGTTTTTATTTTTCAGTTTTCAAAATAAAAAATAAGTGCAACTTTAAAAACATCAAGAAAGAATATAAATTCATCTTTAATTTCCAAAATTAATATTTTAATAAACTACTTCTTGAAATTATTCTTCATTTGGATGTTTCAGTTTTCGGATTCGATTTTCCAATTATTAATTTTTATGAATTTGAAAAAGTCTTGAGTGCCGCAGCGTTTTTTTTTTTATTCATGGCATGAAGATTTTTTTGTAAATTATTTAAAACAATTTTGGGAGACTTTGGTATTCTGTTTTTGGAAAATTCTGACCTGACCTATTTTTAAGTTAATTTTGGGACCTCGTTTTTTTTTCAAAAATTTAAAACAATCTTCAGGTTCTAGGTATCCCTGTTTGAAAAGAAATTGAAAGTGATTTATAGCCTCTAGCGTCTTTTCTTATAGTAATTTAAATAAATTTCTTAGAGGATACGTCATTTGCTAAAATTAGTCTTACCTTAAGAGGTGGTAGCCCCGCCCACCCACCCACCCTCTCTTTTCTTGGAGAGTATCTCATTTGCCAAATTCAGTTTTACCTTGGCAGCTATTAACCCCACCCACCCACCCTTTCTTTTCTTGGAAATTATCTCATTTGCCAAAATCAGTTTTATCTTAGTAGATACTAGCCCCGCCCACCCACCCTCTCTATTCTTGGAAGGTACCTCATTTTCCAAAATCAGTCTTATCTTGACAGGTACTAGCTCCGCCCACCCGCTTTCTCGTTTCTTAAAGGGATCTCATTTGTTAGATAGTAGCTGCTAGGATAAAACTGATTTTGACTATTGAGATACCTTTTATAAGAGAAAAGAGGATGAATGGGCGGGGCTAGTACCTGATAGGATAAGACTGATTTTGGCAAATGATATTCCTCTAATAAAACAGAGCGCGGGTGGGCGGGTTTAGTACCTGATAACGTAAGATTGACTTTGGCAGACGATATATCCTGTAAAAAAGAGAGGGTGGGTGGGCGGGTCTAGTAGCTGTTAAGATAAAACAGATTTTAGCAGTTTTGGAATTTGTCAATTTCTCGAATTTTCTATTTTTCGATTCTTCAATTCTTCGATTAATCGATTTTTTGGTTTTCCTATGTCTCGATTTCCCGAATTTTTTATGTTTTGATTTTTCAGTTTTCAAAATAAAAAATAAGTGCAACTTTAAAAACATCAAGAAAGAATATAAATGCATCTTTAATTTCCAAAATTAAGATTTTAATAAACCACTTCTTGAAATTATTCTTCATTTGGATATTTCAGTTTTCGGATTCTATTTTCCGATTATTAATTTTTATGAATTTGAAAAAGTCTTGAGTGCCGCAGCGTTTTTTTTATTCAGGGCACTTGGATACCCATGATATACTATTTTGAGAGCCCATGAAGATTTTTTTTGTAAATTATTATTTAAAACAATTTTGGGAGACTTTGGTACTCTGTTTTTGGAAAATTCTGACCTAACCTGTTTTTAAGTTAATTTTGGGACCTCGTTTCGTTTTTTGAAAAATTTAAAACAATCTTGAGGTTCTAGGTATCCCTGTTTGAAAAGAATTTCAAAGTGCTTTGGAGCCTCTAGTGTCTTTTCTTATAGTAATTTAAATAAATTTCTTAGAGGATACGTCATTTGCTAAAATTAGTCTTACATTAGGAGGTGCTAGCCCCGCCCACCCACCCACCCTCTCTTTTCTTGGAGAGTATCTCATTTGCCAAAATCAGTTTTATCTTGGCAGCTATTAACCCCGCCCACCCACCCTCTCTTTTCTCGGAAGGTATCTCATTTGCCAAAATCAGTTTTATCTTAGTAGGTACTAGCCCCGCCCACCCACCCTCTCTTTTCTTGGAAGGTACCTCATTTTCCAAAATTAGTGTTATCTTGGCAGGTACTAGCCCCGCCCACCCACTTTCTCGTTTCTTAAAGGGATCTCATTTGCTAGCTAGTAGCTGATAGGATAAAACTGATTTTGACTATTGAGATACCTTCTATAAGAGAAAAGAGGATGAATGGGCGGGGCTAGTACCTGATAGGATAAGACTGATTTTGGCAAATGATATTTCGCTAAGAAAATATAGGGCGGGTGGGCGGGTTTAGTACCTGATAAAATAAGATCGACTTTGGCAGACGATATATCCTCTAAAAAAAGAGAGGGTGGGTGGGCGGGGCTAGTAGCTGTTAAGATAAAACAGATTTTAGCAGTTTTGGAATTTGTCAATTTCTCGAATTTTCTATTTTTAGATTCTTCAATTCTTCGATTAATCGATTTTTTGGTTTTCCTATTTCTCGATTTCCCGAATTTTTTATGTTTTTATTTTTCAGTTTTCAAAATAAAAAATAAGTGCAACTTTAAAAACATCAAGAAAGAATATAAATTCATCTTTAATTTACAAAATTAATATTTTAATAAACTACTTCTTGAAATTATTCTTCATTTGGATGTTTCAGTTTTCGGATTCGATTTTCCAATTATTAATTTTTATGAATTTGAAAAAGTCTTGAGTGCCGCAGCGTTTTTTTTTTATTCATGGCATGAAGATTTTTTTGTAAATTATTTAAAACAATTTTGGGAGACTTTGGTATTCTGTTTTTGGAAAATTCTGACCTGACCTATTTTTAAGTTAATTTTGGGACCTCGTTTTTTTTTCAAAAATTTAAAACAATCTTCAGGTTCTAGGTATCCCTGTTTGAAAAGAAATTGAAAGTGATTTATAGCCTCTAGCGTCTTTTCTTATAGTAATTTAAATAAATTTCTTAGAGGATACGTCATTTGCTAAAATTAGTCTTACCTTAAGAGGTGGTAGCCCCGCCCACCCACCCACCCTCTCTTTTCTTGGAGAGTATCTCATTTGCCAAAATCAGTTTTATCTTGGCACTATTAACCCCGCCCACCCACCCTCCCTTTTTTTGGAAGGTATCTCATTTGCCAAAATCAGTTTTATCTTAGTAGGTACTAGCCCCGCCCACCCACCCTCTCTTTTCTTGGAAGGTACCTCATTTTCCAAAATCAGTCTTATCTTGACAGGTACTAGCCCCGCCCACCCGCTTTCTCTTTTTTTAAAGGGATCTCATTTGCTAGCTAGTAGCTGCTAGGATAAAACAGATTTTGACTATTGAGATACCTTCTACAAGAGAAAAGAGTATGAGTGGGCGGGGCTAGTACCTGATAGGATAAGACTGATTTTGGCAAATGAGATCCTTCTAAGAAAATATAGGGCGGGTGGGCGGGATTAGAACCTGTTAAAATAAGATCGATTTTGGCAGATGACATACCTTCCAAGGAAAGAGAGGGTGGGTGGGCGGGGCTAGGATAAAATTGATTCATAACGTACTGAAGAGATAATCCGCCATTTTCCAGACACCCGGTATACTTAATTTTATAGGATTGCAAAAATAAAAATTATGTAACATTTTACGTTGAAATTGTAAAACCAAATGCTTTAAAAACTTACAAGTTTTCTAAGATTATCGTAAGCATGGTAAATCGTTAATCAAAATTTTATAAAATAACATGTTCCTGTATGTGTGATTTATGTATCCGTGTTGAGTTTTTACCCTCAGCATGCAGATTTTTGAAAAAAAAATCAACATTGTATGAGAATATTTTATAATGTAACTTTGAAATATATACAATACGACAGAGCCCCACTTTGTAAATTTCCTGGTAGACCCCACGTCCTCAATCCGATACTGAACAGACTGAACGGATTTACATAAATAAATCGCCTAAAATTAAATAAACCGAAGTGTATATTTTTAGTTTTGTTGTATAAAGTGCAGACTGCAAAAGTGTGAAAATGTAAACAAATTTTTTTGAGACAGATTTTATCTTTTTAATAAATACTTCAATATGATGATTAGTTCAAAGATGGAAGTTACTGGGGTTTTTTTCTTCTGTCGATTCCTTAATTTGTCGATTTATTTAGCGTTCCATTCATTTGACGCACATTGTAGACGTTAAGTCACGAAAAATAATACTCGAACATAACAAATACTTTCGACAATATTTACCTATACACTATTTTGTAACTACTGATAAAATAGTCAAAAATATTAAACGTTATCGGTTATTAACCGACCAAGTTTTAACTTAATCCAAGAAAAACAGCAAAAGCTGACTCAAAAATTCTGTTGCTTCAAAACATCCTAATTTATTAGACATCCATCATTTACCCAAATTACTTCAATTGTAGCGAAATGTAAATGTTATTTTTTCGTTGTCTGCACATTTATTAGCGATTGACGGTAACACAGGACCCCGTGATTGAAAAGCTTTTTATCACACCGCCTAAAGATAAAAGCTCCTGTTTGTACCAACAACTTTGATCTAGTCGCAGCTTAGTTTAATTTATCAGCTTGATGCGATTCACACGTTAATTCTTCACGCGTAACTAACACTCGAGCTTCACGTTGATTAGTTTCAGCTACTTGAATAAAATAAACTGGTGAATGTTTGCAACTACTTGTACAGGAATTTATGGCTTAAACAAAAAGTTGGAAATGAATTAAATTCAATTAAATTAAGTATTAAGTGTAGTGGAGTGTTAGTAAAATTTACGACCGCTTTTCCTAACAACTTCCAGTAATCTCAGGTAATTGTGTTGTGGAATTCTCACAACTTACACGAATTTTCGACTTACAGAAAACTCAAATACTAGAATTTATGGTAAAAGATGGTGTGGTTCAGAGTGATGTTTATTTTGGTTATGGTGCGTCGGTTGGACACTTTCCAAAATGAGGTAACTTTGTTCCTTTGTGCCCCAAAATTAACACATTTTTGCAAACAGTTCAAAAATCGCAATTAATCAGTAGCTTATAAATACCGTAACTATAAACAATGTTTGATGTATAAATCTTTCGGTGTTGACTGACGATTTTAATTTTGATGTGTTAGAAAAATCAGGCGCGATCACCAAGTCAATCATTTTAATCCAAACGAGAAATAATTGACTTTCGATAAATCCAGCGATGCTGATAAGATGAGTAGCTGTCAATTTGGTGTCCAATTTATGTTCGCTTTTTCGATTAAATATTGGTTTTGGAGATTACAATTATTCCATTTAGATTTGATATTGATTTTTTGCAGGACTATGACGAAAGCGATTCAAACACCACTGGTGAGTTTTGAAAAAATTTTTGAAACATTTTTTTTTGTAAATTTTTAGTACAAATCACATGCCCTTTATCCAATTTCGTCGTGACTCCCGTTTTCAACAACCAAACAAATTACATCAACTTGAAGTTGTCTTGGGACAAACCCAAAATCAACGATTTCGTGAATATTTTAATTCACGAACCAATGGATTTTTCAAAAACTAGCAAATGCTTATCAGAAATATTTATATTTAATCATTCGTTGCTTGTAAGTATTTTGGAACCGTGTTCTTAACCAGAAACGTAAATTTTAGGAAAATAGCGTACTGGAACCTAATATGGTCACTGAAGATGAAGTTGAGCGTGGGTGTTCGTACGAAATAACTTTTTATTCAGACGAAGAAACAGGAATTTATTGTAGCTACAATTACACGGTTCCGGAAGAAGAAGAAAACGATAACGCAAACGAGTTTATAGGTGAGAACGTAACACACAAGGGTCCCAAAATATTTTTTCTAGTAATTAATTAATTATACACAAGTCACATTTTCGTTTACTATTAGAAAACACTAAAATATTTCAATATTGAGTTGTTTAAGCACCAAGACAAGATTACGAAGAAAATTTATTAAAATTATGGTCCGAAGTAGGAGCCAAAATTCGTTGGTTCGTGTCCAGTTTTTCACCACAACTATGTTGAATTTCGTAGGAAGGACTCTCTGATGGGTATGATTTTCTCAGAAAAAAAATCATCCTTGAAAAACTAATAGAAAGAAAGTCCGGGTTATATTTTTTCGCCAATGAAGTGGAAAAGTGAGTTTTGTGAGTTGTTTAAGTGGTCACATATTTCTAATTAGGTTATTTATTGCATAAACATCGCTTTCTTTTAGTTCCACATTATTTAATACTTGTCTATAAATCTCCATGAAAAATATACAAAGGTTGTTTATGACCAGCAATTAGCAGTGTGTTCCACAAATCCACACAGATATAAATAACGAGTTCCAAATTAAATATCGTCTGATTGTGTTTGATGTTAAAAGCTGCTTTTCTAGCGTGATAAAACGCAAGGAAAGTTCTGCGGAAAATGCGGTTTTATTTTTGGAACTGTTTTAAGTTTCAAAGAAAGGTTCCATTAAAAAAGAATTTTGGGCACGTCATTTCGTATTTTTTGTATTAGATATTATATTACTGATGACGTCATCAAAAAATTATTAAATAACACTAAAATTCACTGGTATAATAATAATAATATTAAAACTTTCAAAAATCCATGCCTCCCTTTGTTGGTGTTTTTCGCGCGTTCGATTCTAGAGAATTTAAACATTACAAGTTTTTAGAGTCTAGCGATTCTAGACGCTATGCAAAGATTCTGAAGGAAGATTCTAAAAATTCTAAAGCTTCGAAATATTCTAAAGGATTCTAAGGTTTCTATTGATACTAAAATTTCTAAGAATTCTAAAGTTTCTAAATATTCTACATTGTTCTGATTATTTTTTTACAAATTGTTGTTTGTTTTTGGATGGAAATAAATTAAAGCTTCTAAAGATTTTAAAGATTTCAAAGATTTTTTTCAATAGTTCCAATATTCCAGAAATTTCTAAAGTTCCAGAAAAGTGAAAGACTCCGAAAATTTCAGAGATTACAAAGAATCTAAAAAATCCCTGTATTCCAGAAATTCTACATATTTCCAAGACTTCTAAAATTCCAGAAATTTTTGGAATCTTGGGATTTACTGAAAATCTAAAAATTTCAGGGATTCTTGATATTGGTTGTAAAGGCTCCAAAATTCCCAGAGGTTTGAAATAAACTAAACATTCCAAAGATTCCAAAAGTTCTAGAGATTACAATTATTATAGCAATTCAAGAGGTTCTAGTAATTCTAGAAATTCTCGAGAATTTAGACATTCTAAAAATTGTACAAGTTTTTGAATCTAGCTGTTCCAGAAATTCTAGAGATTTAAAAGATGTTGGAGATTCGGAAGGGAGATTCTAAAGATTTTAGAAATTCTAGCGATGCTAAAGATTTTAAAAGTTCTAAATATTTCAAAGGTTCCAAGGCTTCCAAAGATTCTAAAGGATTCTAAAGATTCTAAGGTTTCTAAAAATTCTAAATTGCTTTCATTATTTTCGTCCATAATGTTCGTTTTTTTTTGATGGGAGCAAACAAAAGTTTCTAAAGATTTTAAAGATTTTAGACCTTCAGAATCAAAAAAGATTTAAAGTCATTTCTACAAGATGTTACATTTCAAAGGATTTTTTTTTCAGTAATTCCAAATACATATTCCAAAAATTTTGAAGGTTCCAGAAAAATCAAATTGTTAGTAAATTTCAGAAATGATAAAGAACCCAAAAAATCCAGAGATTCCAGAAGTTCTAGACATTCCAAAGATTTCCAACCCAGAGGTTTTCAAGATTTTGAAGATTCCAGAGACTCGGAGTTATTAGATATTCTAGCAATTTTAGAGATTCAAAAGATGCTAGAGATTCTGAAGAAAGATTCTATCGATTCTGAAGAAAGATTCTATCGATTCTAGAGACTCTAAGCCTTCTAGAAATTCTAAAGGATTTTTTTAATTTAGCTGTTCCAGCAATTTTAGAGATTCAAAAGATGCCACAGATTCGAAAAGAAGATTCTAAAAATTCAAAAAATTGTAAAGATTCCAAAGATACCAAAGCATCTAAAGACTCTAAAGGAGTTCCAAAAATTTCAGCGATTCTGACAACTGGTTATAAAGTTTACAAAGATACCAAAGGTTTTCAAGGTTGTAAAGATGCCAGAGACTCGGAATTATTAGAGATTCAAAAAGATGCTAGAGATTCTAAAGATTCCAAAGTTTCTAAAAATTCTAAAGGACTCTAAGGCTTCTAATGACACTAAGTTTTCTAAGGATTAAATTTCAGAGAATGTAAAGAATCCAAAAAAGCTCTGGATTTCAGAAATTCTAAATACTCCAAAGATTTCCAAAATTCCACAAATTTTTGGAATCACTGGCTTTACTGAAAAAAAAAATATATCAGGGATTCCTGAAATTGCTTGTAAAGATTCCAAAATTTCCGAAATTTCAAAAATTCTAGAGATTACGGTTATTATAGCGATTCAAGATGTTCTAGTAATTCCAGAGATTCTAGACAATTTAGACATTTTAGAAGAGACTTCAAAAATTCTAGAGATTACAGTTATTATAGCGATTCAAGATGTTCCAGTAATTCCAGATATTCTAGAGAATTTAGACATTCTAGAAGTTTTTGAATCTAGCTGTTCCAGCGATTCTAGAGATTCAAAACATGCTAGAGATTCGGAAAGGAGATTCTAAAGATTCCAAAGATTCCAAGGCATCCAAAGACTCTAAAGGATTCTAGAGATTCTAAGGTTCCTAAAAATTCTAAATTGCTTTCATTATTTTCGTCTATACTGTTGGTAGTTTTGATGGAAATAAAGAAAAGTTTCTAAAGATTTTAAAAATTCCAACCCTTCTAAATTAAAAAAGATTTAAAGTCATTTATACACGATGTTACATTTCAAAGGATTTTTATTTTCAGTAATTCCAAATATTCCAAGAATTTTAAAATTCACAGAAAAATCAAAGTATCAGAAAATTTCAGAAATTATAAAGTATTCAAAAAATAGCGGGATTCTAGAAATTCTAAATTTTTCAAAGATTTCCAAAATTCCACAAATTCTTGGAATTTCGGGATTTACTGAAATTCCAAAAATTTCCGCGATTCTTACTTACTTCTGGTCGTAAAGTTTCCAAAGATCCCAGAGGTTTTCAAGATTGTAAAGATTCCAAAGATGCTAGATATCCTGGAGGAAGATTCTAAATTTTAAAGATTCTAAGCTTCAAAAAATTGTAGAGGCTTCTAATGATACTAAGTTTTCTAAGGATTATAAATTTCAGAGAATGCAGAGAATCCAAAAAAACTTGGGATTTTAAAAATCACAAATATTTCAAGGATTTCCAAAATTCCACAAATTTTTGGTATCTCTGGATTTAATGAAAATCCATAAATGTCAGGGATTCTTGAAATTGGTTGTAAAGATTCTAAAAGTCCCGAGGTTTCAAGATTCTACAGATTCAAAGTTTCCAGAGATTTCAAAAATTCTAGACATTACAGTTTTAATTATTATAGCGATTCAAGATTTTCTAGTAATTCCAGAAATTTTAGAGAATTTAGACATTCTAGACGTTTTTGAGTCTAGCTGTTCCAGCGATTCTAGAGATTCAGAAGACGCTCGAGATTCGGAAAGGAGATGCTAAAAATTCTAGAAATTCTGGAGATTCTAAAGATTCTAAAAATTGTGAAGATACCGAAGATTTCAAGGCTTCCAAAAATTCTATAGGTTTGTAAAATTCTAAGGTTTCCAAAAATTCGAAATTGCTTTCATTATTTTCGTCCATATTGTTGGTTGTTTAAATGGAAACAAACAACAATTTCTAAAGATTTTGAAGATTTCAGACCTTCGCAATCCCAAAAGTTTTAAAGGTTCCAGAAAAATCAGGATCAGTAAATTTCAGAAATTATAAAGAATTTAATTTCTAATTTTAAATATTCCATAAATTCAAAATTCCACAAATTCTTGCAATTTCCGGATTAATTGAAATTCCAAAAATTTCAGCAATTCTTGCAAATGGTTGTAAAGTTTCCAAAGATCCCAGAAGTTTTCAAGATTTTAAAGATTCCAAAGATGCTAGAGATTCTGGAGGAAGATTCTAAATTTTAAAGATTCCAAGCTTCAAAAAATTGTAAAGGCTTCTAAGGTTTCTAATGATATTATGTTTTATAAGGATTTCAGAGAACGTAAAGAATCCAAAAACTAGGGATTTCAGAAATTCTAAATCTTCGAAAGATTTTCAAAATTCCACAAATTTTTGGTATCTCGGAATTTACTGAAAATCTGTCACGAATTCTTGAAATTGCTTGTAAAAATTTCAAAATTCGCGAGGTTTCAAATAATCTAAAAATTCTAGAGATGACAGTTATGATGATTCAAGATGTTCTAGTAATTCCAGAGATTCTAGAGAATTTAGACACTCTAGAAGTTTTTGAATCTAGTTGTTCCAGCGATTTTAGAGATTCAAAAGATGCTAGAGATTCGGAAAGGAGATTATAAAGATTCTAGAAATTCTGGATATTCTTAAAATTCTAAAAATTGTAAAGATTCCAAAGATTTCAAGGCTTCCAAAGACTCTAAAGGATTCTAAGATTTTTAGTGATACTAAGGTTTCTAAAAATTCGAAACTGCTTTCATTATTTTCGTCCATATTGTTGGTTGCTTTGAATTGAAAAGATGCTAGAGATTCTAAAGAAAGATTCTAAAGATTCCAAAGCTTCTAAAAATTCTAAAGGATTCTAAGGTTTCTAATGATACTAAGTTTTCTAAGAATTATAAATTTCAGAGTATGCAAAGAACTAAAAAAACTTGATATTTCAGAAATTCTAAATATTCCAAAGATTTCACAAAATTTTGGTAAGTGTGGATTTATTGAAAATCTGTCAGTTATTCTTGAAATTGGTTGTAAAAATTCCAAGATTTCCGAGGTTTCAAATAATCTAAAGATTCCAGAGATTCCATAGAATCTAGAATTTCAGAGTTTCCAGAGATTCGAAAAATTCTAGAGATTACGGTTATTATAGTGATTAGGCTTTAGTAATTCTAGAGATTCTAGAGAATTTAGACATTCTAGAAGTTGTATAAGTTTTTGAATCTAGCTGATCCAGCGGTTCTGCAGATTCAAAAGATGCTAGGAGATTCTAAAGATTCTAAAAATTGTAAAGACTCCAAAGATTACAAAATTTCCAGACTCCAAAGGATTCTAAGTTTTTTAATTTATAAAAATTCTAAATTGCTTTGCAACTGGTTGTAAAGTTTCCAAAGATCCGAGAAGTTCTACAGATTCCAGAGACTCGGAGTTATTGGAAATTCCAGAAATTCTAGAGATTCAAAATATCCTAGAGATTCTGAAGGAAGATTCTATGGATTCTAAAGATTCCAAGTTTCTAAAAATTGTAAAGGATTCTAAGTTTTCTAAGGATTGTAAATTTCAGAAAATGCAAAGAATCCTAAAAAGCTCGGGATTTCAGAAATTCTAAATATTCCAAAGATTTCCAAAAATTCCAAAAATTTCACCGATTTTGCAACTGGTTGTAAAGATTGCAAAGATACCAGATATTTTCAAGATTCTAAAGATTTCAGCGATTCTAAGGATTCAAAAGATGCTAAATATTTTAAAGACTCTAAAGTTTCTAAAAATTCTAAAGGATTCAAAGGGTTCTAATGATAGTTTTCTAAGGATTATAAATTTCATAGAATGTAAAGTATCCAAAAAAGCTCAGAATTTCAGAAATTCTAAATATTTCAAAGATTACCAAAATTCCACAACTTTTTGGAATCTTGGGATCTCATCTATCGAACAGAAACAAAATATTGTAATGAGATTCAACAAAATTATTAATATATTATTGAATTTCATTGTGTTTGAGAAAATTAGATATTACCGGAATTATTTAACTTCAAATTTTTTAATATTATTTTAGAACTAGTGCAATGTGGTGTGGAAAAGTGGAATAATTTCAATTCATCGGGATCACTGAAATTTTGCACTTCCCTGCTAAAATTTGTCTAATCAACCCCACTAACAACACTCGTATATTTGTAGTTTATGAATCTGCCTTGATTTTTTATCACGCATTTTTTTTGTAATTTGGAAAATTATTGTAGAACTAATCAATTAGAAGAATCTAGAGGCACTCCTGAATTAATCAGCGATAAACCTGTTTTATAATTTTACAATCTTGTCCCTCCCAGTAGCTCAATACCAATTGTCTGATGATCTAATCCCCCGATAAGATTAAAGATTTTCTACTTATTTATAGTACTTGTAATAAATAAAACACCAATGTACCTTAATCCGTCTCCACGTGAATTTCACCTTTATTAGCGCTTGTCAGCGGTTTTATAACACAATACACGATTAGGGGAGCTTGTCTTATCTCATTACCTAAAGATAAAACCGATACGTTCTAATAAGTTTGATCTAGCCAGCTTAGTTAATTTATCGCCACCGCCGCGACTCGCGCGTAATTCCTCCCGCGAAAAACACCCAAAAGATTACGCTATTTTGTTTACGCCTAATTTAAACATCGGATAAATCTGACAAACGAGCTGTTCAAATACCACAAGTGTTTTTCGATATTTTCCCCGAATGGACCAGGCGTCGCCGCCCGATAAATAAAGATTAAACCGCATTCGTCGATAAGAAAATCCCAATTATCGGACGTGCAAGTGAAAATTTAGCCCCGACATGGCGAAAATCGCACCAGCTCCAAAATAGAAGCCATGTGTGCAATTTGTCTTCGCTTTTCGATACGTTAACCGCATTCCTAACAAATTTGAAGTTTGAAAATTTTATTTTTAACGTAGATCGATTCATGGGTGGCTTTACACAAGGTCAAGAGGATTCTTTTGTGTACCCAGGTAATTGCGTAAGCGCAATTTTTACGCTTTTGTCATTTTTTACGATTGCAGACAAACGGGCTGATAGGTGCTAGATTCATGGATTGGCTCAAAGTGGTGTTTGTTATGGTTGCAGTCGGTGGGTTGGATACCATCCAAAGCGAGGTAATTTTGTTCCTTGTGTTGTGTGTCATTAAGAAAAATCGTTGTTTGATTGTTAACAGTTATCGGGTAGTTTCGGAGTGTCAGAATGATTATTATATTATTTTCGTTGATAGTCAGGTGCGACGTTTGGATTATCGGTTCAAAAAATTTCACGCCAAATCCGGGGATCGAATACCGCCATAAACAATAAATTATGTACTCACATTGTGTTTTTTCAGATAACAGTCTTATCGTGTAAATGAGCCATATTGGTCTAACAACAAAATGATTGAGTACTGATTATAAAACTATGTATTTTGATAAGTAAGGGCTGTTATCGTAGGATCAGCGTGGCGTGGCTTAAAAAACATCTCGTTATGCGCTAGAAAGAAAAAAGTTATCGGCACGAAACAAATCTGATCGATTATCACACGTCGAATTTTTGATCAGAGAAAAGTTTTCAATATTTTATGTGCTGCTATACTTGTGGTTTATTAAACTGCCTCTATTTTTAATCTTTTCCATGCACGTGCTGAAGTAATAAAAATTTTAGGAGCTATGTAGTGGCTGCTGAGATAAAACTGATTTTAGCAGGTACTAGCCCCGCCCACCCAAAGGTATGTGATTTGCCAAAATCAGTTTTAGACTCTAGAATTGCTAGAACATCTTGATTCGCTGTAAGAACTGTAATCTCTAGAATTTTTGAAATCTCTGGAAACTCTGAATCTCTAGATCCTATGCAATCTGTGGAATCTTTATATTATTATTTGAAACCTTGGGAATTTTGGAATTTTTACAACCATTTTCAAAAATCCCTGACATTTTTGGATTTTCAGTAAATCCAGACAGAGATTTCAAAAATTTCGGAAATCTTTGGAATATTTAGAATTTCTCAAATCCCGAGCTTTTAGGATTCTCTGCATTCTCTGAAATTTATATTACTTAGAAAACTTAGTATTATTAGAAATGTTAGAATCCTTTAGAATTTTTAGAAGCTTTGGAATCTTTAGAATTTATAGAATCTTCCTTCAGTATCTCTAGCATCCTTTGAATCTCTAGAATCGCTGGAATCTCTAATAACTCCGAGTCTTTAGAATCTTTAGAATCTTGAAAACCTCAGGAATCTTTAGAAACTTTAGTGTCACTAAAAAGTTTAAAATCCTTTAGAATCTTTGGAAGCCTTGGAATCTTTAGATCATTTACAGTTTTTAGAATCGCTAGAATTTCTAGAATCTTTAGAATCTCCCTTCCGAATCTCTAGAACCGGTGAAATAGCTATCAAAAACTTGTACAACTTCTAAAGTGTCTAAATTCTCTAGAATCTCTAGAATTACTAGAACCTTTTGAATCGCTATAATAACCGTAATCTCTAGAATTTTTGGAATTTCTGGAAACTCTGAAACTCTAGATTCTGCAGAATCTCTGGAATCCTTAGATTATTTGGAACCTCGGGAATTTTGGAATCTCGATAACCAATTAAAAGAATCTCTGACATTTTTGGATTTTCAGTAAATCCAGATTCCAAAAATTTGTGGAATTTCGGAAATCTTTGGAATATTTAGAAAATCTGAAATCCCGAGCTTTTAGGATTTTCTGCATTCTCCGAAATTTATATTACTTAGAAAACTTAGTATTATTAGAAATGTTAGAATCCTTTAGAATTTTTAGAAGCTTTGGAAACTTTAGAATTTATAGAATCTTCCTTCAGGATCTCTAGCATCCTTTAAATCTCTAGAATCGCTGGAATTTCTAAAAACTCAGAGTCTCTAGAATCTTTAGAATCTTGAAAACTTCGGGAATCTTTGGAAACTTTAGTGTCACTAAAAACTTTAAAATCCTTTAGAATCTTTGGAAGCCTTGGAATCTTTAGACCATTTACAGTTTTTAGAATCGCTAGAATTTCTAGAATCTTTAGAATCTCCCTTCCGAATCTCTAGAACCGGTGAAATAGCTATCAAAAACTTGTACAACTTCTAAAGTGTCTAAATTCTCTAGAATCTCTAGAATTACTAGAACCTTTTGAGTCGCTATAATAACCGTAATCTGTAGAATTTTTGGAATTTCTGGAAACTGTGAAACTCTAGATTCTGTAGAATCTCTGGAATCCTTAGATTATTTGGAACCTCGGGAATTTTGGAATCTTGATAACCAATTTCAAGAATCCCTGACATTTTTGGATTTTCAGTCAATCCAGAGATTCCAAAAATTTGTGGAATTTCGGAAATCTTTGGAATATTTAGAAAATCTGAAATCCCGAGCTTTTAGGATTTTCTGCATTCTCCGAAATTTATATTACTTAGAAAACTTAGTATTATTAGAAATGTTAGGATCCTTTAGAATTTTTAGAAGCTTTGGAAACTTTAGAATTTATAGAATCTTCCTTCAGGATCTCTAGCATCCTTTAAATCTCTAGAATCGCTGGAATTTCTAAAAACTCAGAGTCTCTAGAATCTTTAGAATCTTGAAAACTTCGGGAATCTTTGGAAACTTCAGTGTCACTAAAAACTTTAAAATCCTTTAGAATCTTTGGAAGCCTTGGAATCTTTAGACCATTTACAGTTTTTAGAATCGCTAGAATTTCTAGAATCTTTAGAATCTCCCTTCCGAATCTCTAGAACCGGTGAAATAGCTATCAAAAACTTGTACAACTTCTAAAGTGTCTAAATTCTCTAGAATCTCTAGAATTACTAGAACCTTTTGAATCGCTATAGTAACCGTAATCTCTAGAATTTTTGGAATTTCTGGAAACTCTGAAACTCTAGATCATGTAGAATCTCTGGAATCCTTAGATTATTTGGAACCTCGGGAATTTTGGAATCTCGATAACCAATTTCAAGAATCCCCGACATTTTTGGATTTTCAGTAAATCTAGATTCCAAAAATTTGTGGAATTTCGGAAATCTTTGGATTATTTAGAAAATCTGAAATCCCGAGCTTTTAGGATTTTCTGCATTCTCCGAAATTTATATTACTTATAAAACTTAGTATTATTAGAAATGTTAGAATCCTTTAGAATTTTTAGAAACTTTGGAATCTTTAGAATTTATAGAATCTTCCTTCAGGATCTCTAGCATCCTTTAAATCTCTAGAATCGCTGGAATTTCTAAAAACTCCGAGTCTCTAGAATCTTTAGAATCTTGTAAACATCGGGAATCTTTGGAAACTTTAGTGTCACTAAAAACTTTAAAATCCTTTAGAATCTTTGGAACCCTTGGAATCTTTAGACCCTTTACAGTTTTTAGAATCGCTAGAATTTCTAGAATCTTTAGAATCTCCCTTCCGAATCTCTAGAACCGGTGAAATAGCTATCAAAAACTTGTACAACTTCTAAAGTGTCTAAATTCTCTAGAATATCTAGAATTACTAGAACATTTTGAATCGCTATAATAACTGTAATTTCTAGAATTTTTGGAATTTCTGGAAACTCTGAAACTCTAGATTCCATTGAATCTCTGGAATCCTTAGATTATTTGGAACCTCGGGAGTTTTGGAATCTTGATAACCAATTTCAAGAATCCCTGACATTTTTGGATTTTCAGTAAATCCAGAGATTCCAAAAATTTATGGAATTTCGGAAATCTTTGGAATATTTAGAAAATCTGAAATCCCGAGATTTTAGGATTTTCTGCATTCTCCGAAATTTATATTACTTAGAAAACTTAGTATTATTAGAAATGTTAGAATCCTTTAGAATTTTTAGAAGCTTTGGAATCTTTAGAATTTATAGAATCTTTCTTCAGGATCTCTAGCATCCTTTGAATCTCTAGAATCGCCGGAATTTCTAATAACTCCGAGTCTCTAGAATCTTTAGAATCTTGAAAACTTCGGGAATCTTTGGAAACTTTAGTGTCACTAAAAACTGTAAAATCCTTTAGAATCTTTGGAACCCTTGGAATCTTTAGACCATTTACAGTTTTTAGAATCGCTAGAATTTCTAGAATCTTTAGAATCTCCCTTCCGAATCTCTAGAACCGGTGAAATAGCTATCAAAAACTTGTACAACTTCTAAAGTGTCTAAATTCTCTAGAATCTCTAGAATTACTAGAACCTTTTAAGTCGCTATAATAACCGTAATCTGTAGAATTTTTGGAATTTCTGGAAACTGTGAAACTCTAGATTCTGTAGAATCTCTGGAATCCTTAGATTATTTGGAACCTCGGGAATTTTGGAATCTTGATAACCAGTTTCAAGAATCCCTGACATTTTTGGATTTTCAGTCAATCCAGAGATTCCAAAAATTTATGGAATTTCGGAAATCTTTGGAATATTTAGAAAATCTGAAATCCCGAGCTTTTAGGATTTTCTGCATTCTCCGAAATTTATATTACTTAGAAAACTTAGTATTATTAGAAATGTTAGAATCCTTTAGAATTTTTAGAAGCTTTGGAATCTTTAGATTTTATAGAGTCTTCCTTCAGGATCTCTAGCATCCTTTGAATCTCTAGAATCGCTGGAATTTCTAAAAACTCAGAGTCTCTAGAATCTTTAGAATCTTGAAAACTTCGGGAATCTTTGGAAACTTTAGTGTCACTAAAAACTTTAAAATCCTTTAGAATCTTTGGAAGCCTTGGAATCTTTAGACCATTTACAGTTTTTAGAATCGCTAGAATTTCTATAATCTTTAGAATCTCCCTTCCGAATCTCTAGAACCGGTGAAATAGCTCTCAGAAACTTGTACAACTTCTACAGTGTCTAAATTCTCTAGAATCTCTAGAATTACTACAACCTTTTGAATCGCTACAATAACCGTAATCTCTAGAAATTTTGGAATTTCTGGAAACTCTGAAATTCTAGATTCTATAGAATCTCTGGAATCCTTAGATTATTTGAAACTTCGGGAATTTTGAAATCTTTATAACCAATTTCAAGAATCCCTGACATTAAAGTAAATGCAGAGATTGCAAAAATTTCTGGAATTTTGGAAATCTTTGCAGTATTTAGAATTTCTGAAATCCAGAGCTTTTTTGGATTCTTTGCTCTGAAATTTAGAATCCGTAGAAAACTTCGTATCATTAGGAACC